AATCAAAAGCACTCGAAATGGGCGAGGTTTATTATGAAAAATAAGCGTATACACATACATACGAGGGTGGTCGCGGAAGTATCCGACCTAACAAAGAAAACACAAAAATTTGGGGAAAAAATATATTTATTTTTCAACATAATCTCCTTTCAGCTCTATACACTTTTCCCAGCGATACCCCTTTTTATAATAAGAACTGTCTTGCTCCTCAAAATAGCCATTAACTGCCGACAAATTCTTCATCGTTAGAAAATCTTTGACTACGGAGCGATTTTTTGAAGTTAGGGAACAGAAAATAGTCCGAGGGGGCTAAATCTGGCGAATAGAGGGTGCATGAGGTAGCAACTCAAACATTAATTCATTAATTCGCTAAACACTCAATTGAAACCTCATCACGACACTGTTTAATAAAATAAAAATTAAACGAAAAAATCAAATGTGAAAATGCATACAAAAAATATTATTCAAACCCGCGAGTTTTTGGTTACGACATTACTAAAGCTTTTTATAAATTCACTAAGAGCAGGCTAATATTAAAAAACTGTGTGTAAAGTAAAGCAAAAAAAAAACTCATGGTCAAAAATAGTTAAAAATTCATTTCATTTCAATGTTGCCCGACACTCTCCGTTGACAAGTAAGGTCGAGATAACCCACTAGCGGATAAAAAAACATACTGCTAAATTCAATGATTTGTTTATTTTTTGTAAGAAATACATATGAGCAGGAAATTAGGTTACTCATACGCCATGTGTGCCCGCATTTGATCAAACTTAATAGGGCAACTATAACTATTGATTCCGCGAACTTTAAAGCGTCTTTTACTATTACCAGAGTGTAAATTGCATTTCACTGTTGTCAAAAGTTCGTCAAAGTTCAATTTCAATAATAAATAAGATTCAAATGCAATTATTATTCCTCTACGAAGGAGCGTTGTTGTGTGGCTGCTAAAAGGTTTGTGCTGTAGTCAAATGCATTTCCTAGCCATGGGCGGTCAACTGCACCCCCGATATTATCTTTCATTTGCATACATGTGCTCATTTCCTGGTTAGTGGCATGACCAATACAACAAGTATGCCTTAAGCGAATATTGACGCTGCGTTCCTGCCGCTTGCAACGCAGCCAGCATATTGCCAGCAGCAGTGCCAGCGATTGGTAACGACGTTGAACCAATTGACCGTATGATTTTACTACCAGTCGGCCGGCGATAACCCAATGCTGGATGGCCAGGAAGGACGGACCGGACCAACCAATCTCCACATAAATTCGCTCGCCCACCCATAACAACCTGATTGCCGCTCGCTACTTGCATGGAGGAGTGTGAGTTTAGTAAACGAATGTCTGTCACCGATCTGCATGTGTGTGTGTGTGTGTGCGCGAGATATATCCTGCAATCACGGGCTGGAGCAGCGCCATTTCGGTTCAGCATATCGGGCGTGTGGCAGAGAGCACGCTGAGGGTATTGCTTGTTGCCCGGCAGATTAGATACTCTTATTTACTGTAAGTGAATATGCTGAGGTGTTGTCAAACACAATTCACCGCACAGTACAGTTGACCAGTTGACCCATGGCCGACCCTATTTTGTTTGTATCTGAACATGCAGTGATATAAATGCGTGTGTGTGTTTGTGTGCACGTAATCGGTTTTACGTTATGCTGCTCATTATAGAGTTTTGCTTACCTGTGCCAAATAATACAATTTAACGTCATCGAACCGGCAAGGTTCGTTATTATGCAAGTATGTATGCAAATGGCTCTTTGTGGATTACAATATGTAGTCCAATTTGTAGTTACCACACAAAACAGTTTGATTTTAAGCGTTGCCCCTTCGACCACAGAAATCATGCGAATATATAAATTCATTTGTATTTGTATGTATGTAGATAGATAGGTAGTTAATTGTAGTACTGTTACCGGTAGGTTTATTGTGCCCTTAGCTCATCACTACACCTCGAATAGCCCTAGAGGCTCTGTAAATGAAACTTATAAAATTTCATAATAGATCCCGGGGATATAGAGTGTATGCGCTTAGCACTTGGCCACAGGGGTTCTATGACCTCCTCTCCCTCCTACGTGCTGCGGCCTCACACTTTATAAGAACTTGTAAAGGAGTCTCTTTGGCAGCGTCGCAAAAGTGGCACAGGTCACTGGACCAGATTCCTAAATAATGCAGTTGACCTCTTAGCCTTCAAAATACCTGAAATGATTCTTAGTTTCTCCTTGGGGAGATCCATGAGTTGCCTATATCTCTTTAGAATGTACCCTCAGTTTGGTATTTTCCTTTCTAAAAATTTTCTTTATGGTGTTGGGACTTTCTGCAAGAAATAGCCCAGGCCCTATCGGGGTCGAGGCTTTAGCATTCACTCGGGAGGCTTTGATGTAAAATAATTAATATTATTCTTGAATATTTATTATATTCCATATCATTGTAGTATTATCGATATGTTACTCAATATCATTATCTAAGCTAGTTTTGCATACCGTTGTCACTATGCTTATCGAAATATCATATCAAAATTGCTTAGATATTTTTACACCGACTCACAATTTGCAATTTGTTTCCAAACTAAATCAGCTTATCTGAAGCATTTTAATATCACGTAGCGAGGGAGTGAACACTCGTACAGCTTAAGCCATCAAAAAATACCTGAGTCTGCGTTAAAGAGCTGATTTTATTTCCAGCAAGGTGAAGAATTGCAAATTATCGGTAGTAAAATGTTCAATTTCTTTACCACGTTTACAATTTCTAAAAAAAAAAAATAAAAATAGTAGTTAAAATAGCGTACACCCTACCGTATTTTATGGCAGCGCGTTTAAAATAAATCGAAAACTCCGCTACCTCCATTCCCCGACTGCACCTCCATCATTTCTTAAAATTGGGAATGTAAACAGCCAAACAAAAAAAAAAAAGAAAAATTAAAAAAAAAGAAAAAAAAAACGATTTGATTTGAAGAATTTCATTTAAGTGCAAATAAATGAGTTTTATAGCATATCACTGAAATTTGAGTTTTCTCGTCTGCTGAACTGCGCGTTCTCCACACTCCGCATGCGGCGCGCCTTGAACGAAGCAACAAGATTGATTTTGATAAAACCACATTTTGGTCGAAATAAATGCATTCGATTGTGAATCTAACCAAATATGCAGCCAAATGCAAATTGAAAAACGCACTGACCTGTAAACATGACAAATACGGCTGACTATACGATTGAAATACATACTTACCGAGCTACATATGTACATACAGACATACATACATACTACATCAACAATTCAATTTCATCTCGCAACCGCAACACTCCACTATCCGCCTTATCCTTTCACCTGCTCAGCTGCATTGCCTTTCACATCCGATCTGCTGCGTGTTTTCCACGTTCGGTGCATACTGTGGTTGAATAACAGGCAGGTATCCTTTCGTGACGCCTCATTGCACTTGTTTACTGGTTTTTGATTTGCTTTTTTGTGCGTTTTTTCCCGGAAAGTTGAGAAGCGACTTACGTTAAGAAGTGGCGCAAGTTGTTCTCCTGTTATTAAACGCAGCGCTGAGTTTGTGGAATTTCGGTGATGGGCCAGTTTTCTGTGTTGTGGGAAATTTCAGCAGTGTTTGGTAAATCTCGAGTTGGCGGCAGAAATCGAGTGGTAATTTGAGTTACCTTTCTGCGAGCATATATTTGAGTATCTGTCTGCTGCTGGCTGAGGCATCTTAAATCGCAAAATAAATATTTGTGCTGAATGAAACTGAAAACTATGGCTTTACTTATGGCACAAGTCCTTCGAAAGTGTATATATTAGATACTTCATCAAAAAGCAAAAAGTAATGGCTCTCTTTTTTTTGTCTTCCATACAATTAAAGCGTTCTTGGAAAGATTCTTTTGTTTGACATTTTTACTCGATAATAATTTCCCAATATTTATAAATCTCTCGTTTAAATTCCCTCCATTAACTGCTATCGCTTTCCCCTAACAGATTTATTTTCCAACCCATTTACTTCCCCAATTTACTGCACCGACCGTCCATTGCTGCTGCACGCATCCTCCAAGGTATTCTTGATCTGCCAATCGAATAGCCAACAGAATGGCATTTAATGGATTTACTTAAACTTCAACTATCTCCAACCAACGAGCAATCAACAGAACTAACTGCTTACCGCTCTTAGCAATTCCTTTCTCCAACTAAATTGAATTCAACTCGCACCACTTGCCGTCCTCGGCAACCCTTCCTCGGCGTGTGCTCTTTAGCCAAGTTTGCCATTTCCATTTGCAACAAAGGAAGCAGCAGCAGCAGCAGCAGCATCAAGTGCAGCAGTGAAATTTATTGAAAATTCAAATATTTGCATACAACATAAAATGGCAGCAGCCACACAAAGTATGCAGAAGTGTGGGTGCAGCAGTACGAAGGCTACAACATGGCTTGGAAGTGGATATTGCATTGATAGTAGAAAAAACATGGGTGAGGAATTGCAAAAAAAAAAGCCAGTCAATTTGCTTTCTCAATGTATGCAGGCGTTTGTGTGAGTGCAGTGCCATTGTATGCATGATTGTGCATGTGTGTGCGTGTGTGTGTGTGTGTCGTTGCCGTAATAATAAAATGGAAATCAATTTTTTTCTATGCCTGCACCTAACCGCGCTCGCTTAGTGCCTTATTATGCGTCAAGTGAAAGCGAAAAGAATTGAAAATTTATTGGCACACCCATCAGCCACTCGGCACGCCCTCGCTTCCCTGCTTCGCACTCACTCCCATTCGCTAATGCTGTAATACTCTTTGGCAATCAATCGAGTAAATGGCAATCTTCTCAACCTTTTTGCCTTTGCCTCTGTGTGTGTTATTCTTCGAGCGAAAGTGTTTGCCTAGCGCCAGCGCCAATTGCCACTTCGTCTTGTTTGAAAAATCATTTGAATAATAATAAGCGCAATTTGCATCCATTATCTTCGGCATTTATCACCCACCTTCATAACACACCTCTAATATTTATTGTCTCGCTTTTTGTTCTCTTTCTCGTGTCACAGGCGAAGCGCATACAGAGCAATGAATTGGCCGCCATCAAAGTCATCAAACTCGAGCCCACCGATGACATACAGATCATCCAGCAGGAGATTATTATGATGCGCGATTGTCGGCATAAAAACATCATCACATACTATGGTTCGTATCTGCGACGCGACAAATTGTGGATATGTATGGAGTATTGTGGTGGTGGCAGTCTGCAGGACATCTACCAGGTGACGGGGCCGCTGGCCGAACAACAGATCGCCTACATGTGCCGTGAAACTTTGAAAGGACTCGAGTACCTGCATACGATGGGCAAGATGCATCGTGATATCAAGGGCGCCAACATCCTGCTGACCGAACAGGGCGACGTCAAGCTGGCGGATTTCGGTGTGTCAGCGCAGATAACCGCCACGATCAACAAGCGAAAAAGCTTTATCGGTGAGTGTGGCTCGTTTACCAGCACATATGTTTCTAGTTTATATTACTTTTAAACAGCTATTTTTCCTATAGTTGGTTTTGTAAAACAAGTGAGTTTTAGTAAGACTCAACTTTATGATTCACTGGGCCGCTGAACCCCATAAAACTCCGCTTCAGTGGCTCTGTAAAAAAAAGATACATATCTATTTGAGTCGCTTTTCTAGAATATTTTGCGACATTCCTATATTGGATGTCAACTTATAGGGCAATTCTGGCTAAGATAGAAAAAGTCTTTCGTAAGACAAATAAACGACAAATTGCAAGATAGTTCGAACGACTTTTGTTAATTTTTAGGAACTTACTTGCTTTTCATCTTATATATTAATTATTTTTTTTAGTTAAATTTTCTTTTAATTCTTGGATTTTATCCTTTAAAAAAGAAAACTATTTGTTTTAATATAATGTAAACTTATTTTGTTTATTTCTTCTTTTTACTTAAATTTTCTTTTACTTTTTAGTTTTTTGAAAAATATATACATAATTTTTTAAATGTTTCGTTTTTCGTTTTTTTTGTTTAGTTTTTTTTTGCATTTTATTCTTTTAAAAAGAAAAAAATATTTATTAAATTTTAATAATAGATATATTTTGTATAGTATTAAATTTAATTTTATTTATTAATTCTTATTATTTTAAAATGAAAAATATATATATATTTTTTTAAATTTAATTTAATTTTAAAAAACTTATTGCTAAAAGGCGGACTGCATAAGGCTAAGTAGGACCTTCAATTAGTCTTTCGAAAAACAAAATAGAGCTTTCGAGAGAGGTGCCAGAATTAACACTTGTCTTACGAAATATATTGTCGTCGTTCTTATTGTGTTTAGGAATTCACAATTCGTGCCTAAAACTATGCAATTTTTTATTCCACGGAATTTTCATGTCTCGCAAAAGTTTGGTTTCGGCAATAAATACAAAATTGCATGTGAAGAAGATACATAAAGAATTTGAATTTTATGGTAATCTAAATATGCACTACGATTTATTTACGTGAAATCAGCTAATATTAGCTAAGATTTTTTTACCAGCGCACATACTTATTTTGTAATTAAAAACCCATAAACAAAAGACGTGCCAAGTTTCTTTTACAAAGGACTTTTCCAACAAAACACCAGAAACTTAGTTCGAACATTAATTGAGTAAAATTGACACGAGTACTCACTCAAGACGGCTGTGTGTCGTACAAGTAAAAACGAATGAAATTCTGAGCAAAAAAAATGCTTTACTTTTAAAATTAAGTTGAAAAAAGTATTAAAAAAGAGACGAAATTGATGGCAAAGAGAAAGCTATTTGCCGCCAAAGAAATTTCTTATTAGAAAAAGCTTACTTTAGGATATAGCATTTCAAGTCTTGGTAACATAGCAGGCGGCAGCAACGAGCAGCGGCCAGAAAAATTACTAAAAAAAATGCTTGCTGGCAAAAGTGTAGCAACGTGTGTCTTAACGACATTTGAAAAGGAAATTAAAGCTATGTCGCAAAAGAAGTCACCGAGTGGGAAACTTGAAACGAAAGAGAGGGAAACAACGTAGAATTCTTGGTGAGAAAAGTGAGTATTGTTTAGTATTTTTTCTTCGCTTGACTGGATCATGTACGAGTAGCAAAAGGAGAAGCGAAAAAATAGAAATCTAAAGAAATAAAAAGAAAAAATCCAGCGAAATGCCAAGTCACACTCACACGCGTCACAGCCACATTGTTGTCCGCGTACCCTCTCCCTCGCACGCGCTCTGCCATGCCTTGCTTCGGTGTGCCGCTGCACATTCTGCTTCCGCAATTGGTCAACGTCTATTGTGGTTTTCCTTAAACTTTCTTGTTTTCATTTTTCAATGTTTTTTCTTGCTGCTGCTGCTGCTGCGCAGGATTTGTTCTACATTCTTTTCATGCCTTGCTGCTGCTGCCGCTGCCGTGGCCGCCGCCGCTGCACCGCTGCTATTGTTGTCGATTTCGTTCGCTTCGTTACTGTTTACTTGTACATATATTAGCTTCCCTGTTAGCATACATGTAATTGTGTGTGTGTGTGTGTGTCTGTGCGCACTTCTTAGAGCTTGCAGTCTTCTCTGTAGTATTAAAAAAAAAAAAAACGACGTGCGGAGGCTGCTGCTGCATCGACTTAAATGGGCTCAGCCTGTTTTCAAGGCTTGTTTGCAGTTCAACTATGTTCCCTATTAGTTTCTCCTGCTTTTGTGTTTACCGGCATTGTTTTCTGATATTATTGTATGTATGTATATTTCATTTTGTCGTATACTCGCTACTAAATTGAAAATAGGGCGGCAGTGCATGGTTTACTTTCTCGTTTCTATAGCATTTCTTGTAATTTGCCGAAGTCTTCTTCCGCCTAGGGTTATGCAACGTTTTCCTTTGTATTCGCCAACTTTTTTTTAGCAGTTTTACAAATTCCAAGAATACTTTGCAAACCCTAAACGAAGTTTTGTATGCCTTGGCAAATTTGGTAGGTAACAGCTGTGCATGTAACCAAATTTAAAAGCAGCCAGTGAATGATTTTGTTGCTAGCTGTTTTCAACCGCAAAAACAGTGGTGAGTTTCGTTTTCCATTACCTCTATTAACGTGAAAACTAATTAAGTACATTTAATCAAAATTCTCTCTTCGTTCATATTCCATTTCTAACTAAACCTGTGGATCCTGAATGTCCTTGTAAGCTTTGCAATTTCACACTCCTTCTCATTTTCTCAAACATTTCATTGCACGTCACCACAACTTGCAGAAATGTGTGGGGAACGAACGTTTCAAAAATAAATAGTTAATGAGTTACTGAATGAGGTGCGAGTATGTATGTACATACATACATACATATCGTTAGTATAGTATGGAAAGGACGTATCTAACATCGTTGCTTAAATGCAATAAAAGCCATAACTAACTAAAATCTTTGTTGCATAAAACTATCTGGGGACTTATAGTTCGATTTTTTTATTCAATCAAAAAGTGAATTTTTGGGATTTTTAGTTAGTTTCGGCTTTTTGTATTTCAGCGACGATGTGAGTTATGTCATTCCCATACTATACTAACGATATGTACATATGTATAGTATGTTCCGAATCCTTTCGTTTAATTGTTTCTTGTGAAAATGTTAAGATGAAGTTAAAAAAAAAAACGAGTCAACTTCAAAAAAAAATAACACAAAAACCTTTACTGATCTCGATATTTTTTCACGTTGGTGGTATCGAGTTTCCAAAACGACTTTATCATAACTCTTTCATCGCACATTCATTTCTTACTTACAGCCTTTGGCTTTGAGTAACTGTACACATGTGTGGTGTGTTTCAAATGGACCTAACGATACCAGGTCATTCCAAATACATATTTCGGGAAGAAAAATCGCTCAAAAATGCGGTTAGGTTAGGTTGGTGTGGCAGTCACTTAGACCTTGAAACACGGGAACATCAGTGACTATTCTTCATAGAACCATCTTGAAGCTCTTATAAAGCGTATGACTTTATCCCTACATGTGATACTTCCGTAAGAGAGCTCAAGAAGTGCCTACCTAAAAACTGCCCTGCTCTTGGCCAAAGCTGGGCATTTGCAGAAGAAGTGCTCTACGGTTTCTTCCTCTTACTCATCTTTGCAACTACTGCAATATTCGTGTGAGAATATTCCATATCTTGATGGGCCAAATAGTCCATGAACGGTTACACAAGCCGTGACCATCGCAATATCCTCTCTTGAGAGGCTGAGCAACTCGTTCGTCCTTTTCTTATCTTTTTGTGGCCATAGTAGCCTGGTTGTTCTACTGTGACCACCTCCAGGCATGACCTGTTGGCCTCTTGAATCATGTTTTTTCTAAGTCCTAATCTACAGGTTATCCATGGATATACCTTTTGCTTCACAAAGGGGGAAATTGGTATCTTTCCTGGCTAGCTCATCGGCCCTGAAATTCCCTCAATGTCTCTATGTCTCGGGACCCACATGAGCCCGACCTTGAATACGGCGCTAATATCATTTGGAGCTGCGAGGCATTCCTGTGCAATCTTCGATCTTAGCATTACCGCGTTCATTGATTTGATTAAAAGATGTTAATCGTAGTCTTCGTTACGGCATGCGTACTAAGGTACATAGCCTGAGATAATTCCAGTCCTAGATCCTTAAAGAAAAGTACGTTGGGAACCCTATTGTCTAGCTTGGATCCATCCGTGAAAAAATCCAATTCCCCCTTCTCCGGGGTTTTGGTCTTTGCCCCTCTCTTCTTTACAGGATGCTCGTCTTAAAGAGCTTACTGAAGGTTGGTTTAGGGGCGCAGTAGTTGATTTCCTTGGCTGAACCGCCCACTCTTCCATAGCACCATACTTTTTGGTCTGAACGCCAAAGCGGTGGCCAAGTATTTTCTTACCAAGTTTATTGCGGGCAAATTGATTAACAAAAATGCGGTTGCTCAGAATCATTTATCCGTTAGGTGAAATGGAAAGCGGACCTTAAATCGTATAAAGTTCAGAAAGTCGCAAGTCGGAATGCTATGAAGAACGTTGACTCAATAAATAGGAAGTAAAAACACTTTTTTTGTCCGGGAAATGCTTAAATTTCATCATTTGTTTTTGCTTCACCACATTAAGCTACATATGGTTAAATTGTTAAATAACTTGATTAACCGCTACTATCAGCTTAAGTTTAAATCAATATTTTCGTACATAAATCGGTTTCCAGGACCCGCTCCAATATCAGTCGGCTTTGCACGCCCACCTTGAATATATTCCGCTTTTAAATCGAATCTTAAATGGAAAGCACGATCATTTTTTATTTGTGCAGGAAATTTTCTACCATCCACAGACGGAGAGCCAAACAAGCAAACAAACAAAGCAGCAGTCAGAGATAAATTAATTCGCACAACAACAACTACCACTGGTGAGACTGCTTGCCCCACTGCGGTGAAGGCAAAATATCGTCGACGATTGTGAAGTCGGATGCTGTTGATTAAATTAATTAGTTTTAAAACGAATAGGTTTTATTTTATACCGCAGCGCAGATGCGTCAGGGGCGAGCGCACGTACACACTCGTACTTTGCTGCTACAAGGACATACACACTTCTATCTCACCTTGTTTTT